CATGTTTATTTCTGATGAAATTTGATATATAAAAAATAGGAGATTAGATTTATGTCAAGGATACAAGTTGATTCATTTCAATAGATTAATATGGACAACGATTGATTATTTCATAAGAGTGCCAGTTCGTTACTACGGTCTATATTAGATGTTATAATACCTTAACTATAAGTAGATTTAATGTTGAATTTGGAGAGATGTGAAATAACTATCGCACTACAAAATAATGAAATCTAAGATTAACATTTAATAGTAAATTTCATATACAAACGATTGACTAATATTTTAAAGTTTAAGTGCAAATGATCATATGAATAAATAAAAATTGATTTTTTTTGTTGTTTTTATCATTATTTAGATACAAGAAATGAAAAATGAAGAAAAAGTTGTATTAAAATTATTAGAAATTGATGAAATGTTTTTGCAAAAAAAAGCTGTTGGTTTACCAGCACAACAAGTATAAATGAAAATAATCTTTTATAAATAAATAATGATTTTTCGTTTTAGAATGTAAGCAAACAAACAATGTTACGTTTTTATATTGCTATGATGTTATATGATTTATTCAAAAATAAAAGTTTTTATGATGTTGCAAAATTTTGGGATCAATCTCGTGGTACAATTCAAAATCTTTATTCTCAAGTTGCTTCATTTGCTGCATCAATACTTTATTTTAGTAAAGTAAGTTTGTTTGTTTGTTTTTACAATTCTAAAATAGATTTTTATTTTATTTTTTGATAGTCTTATGATGAATTTTGGCCTTATCATGAATTATGTAAGTTATATATAATAATTGTAATTCTTATTTTTATAAATTTTAAGTACCAATGTTCATTCAACGATTAACATTTTGTACATCATTAGAAATTCTTCCAATTATGGAAATTCCAGGAATAAAACGAGTAAAAAAAAGTTTAAGATATTTTGTATGTTTAATATTTTGTTTTTAAATTAATAATAGGGTCGTGCTTTACAATTAGTTCGTGCAGGTTTTCGTACACTTCGAAGTTTAGCAAGAGCTCAACCTGATCATCTTATGAAAACTGTACTTAATTTATCATTACGAACAGCACAAATTCTTATTAAACATTCAAAAGTAATCAAATTCATTTTTTATTTATAAATATTTATATTTTCTCTTTTAGCGTTTACTTTGTGAACAAGCTGAAGATTTAAGAGATCAAGCAGCCGCATTAGTCGAAGATATTTAATAAGAAAAATATTTATTATTATTATTATTATTATTATTTTTGTATATATTTGTAACTGTAATTTTATGACAATTCAATAATTTACTTTTTTTTTGTGTATATTCAACTTGTCAGATAAATTATGAAAACAAAATATTTGTGAATAAAAAACAAACTAAGATGAAATAATCTTTGTATGTACGTTAGTCTATCGTCTAAAAATCTTTTATTCGTTTACTAAGGAAGATACTGAATAAACAGTTAACTCTCCCAAGCTCTTCTAAAGGCTTCTAATGTTGTTATTCAGATGCAAAAAACTTGGAACTAATACCTGACGGTATTTTGTTTGGAATGTGTTTTCAAAATTCATGTTTTGAAAAGTAAAGAATGATTTATGATTATATCATCGAATGCAGAATTGAATATCTGAACAAAATGATATAACATTTTAATTGAACAACGAAAATCTTTAGATTATGCTCGAAGTAAAAACAAACAATAGCATACAGCTGTCAGAAAGAGCATTTTGCATTGTTTTCTAATTTTTGCTTAAAAATCCAGGTCGAACATCTACGCTTGTAAACAACCATTTACGGAGAAAAACGATGATATACTGGAATCGTAAACGAATTCCGTATACGGTCACTGTATGTTCAATTTTTGAAATTTGTAGCGAAAGCGGGTACGTACGATTAGAGCAATTAAAGAAGATACAATAATATCTTCAGAATAGACGTAAATCTACTTAATTCCTCCATCTATTTGACGATATATTTTTCTTTGATTCTTGTCTTATATCAATATACATATGTCGTAGATATTCAACATTATATATGTAGAAGTTAGCTACCACATTGCATCAAGGAGAAAGAAGTAAACTTAAATACAATTCAGACAACAAGACTTCAGGGTATTAAAAGACTTTGGCTGACTTCAAGAGGTTGCCAAAAACTTCATAAAATTTCAAGACAATTGAGACTCTTTTTCCCTAGCACTACTTGCAGCTAACATATGGATAATGTTTAAATGCATGATAGAATGTGTATTAGGGAAGATAAAATATAGACACCATTGCAGTGCAGATCATGTTCAATAGAAGAGAGACGCTACAGAATATAAACATAGAGTAAGACCGCAGAATAGAACATCTAAGTATCGAACATGAGATGTATGGCAGAAGTATAGATATAGGATATTCGTCATAGAGTGGTGGTTGTATATAGAACGTAGAGATCGGGACTTCTTAAGTCAACAATACAGTCGTACATTAGTGTCATAAGATAACGAGTATAAACAAAAGTAAGCACAATATTTTCATTTAATTCCCTCGACTGAAGAGATGGTCATACGAAAAAAACACAAAATGCGTTTGTCTATTTGTTTGTCGGGGTCAAAGGTAAAAAAAACATCGCCTTAAAAGTTCAATGGTAGCTGTTTTTCTCCACCCTAAAAGGACGGAGTCTTCACAATGGAAATTCGTATGTTTCTCCGGTGTCTGATTGGTCGAAAAATGGACCAATCAGATTTCAGAAGGATTTTTCTTTCTTATTATCAGGACAAGTGCTCGTCATGCACCAGTAATGTTAAGTAACATTTGAGGACCATGTGGTAAATAGACGCTATTTCTTGATTTTGATAATTGATTTGCAATACCTTCAGTGGCTTCAATTCGTCGAAGTTTGATCAAACCTAACATGAATATTAAAATAAAGTAAGACAGGATAATAAAAGATATTCGACCATTTACCATTACCAGCTTCATCTAAAGCTTTGCCAATCAAATCAGCTGCACGAGCATCACCTTCTTCTGCAATAACATTTGCTTGACGACTTACTTTTTCGACTAAAAATCGTTGTTTTTCAACATCTTGTTGCCCAACTTGTTTTAATTCAACAGGACTTGTAAATTCAGATCTAAAAATTAAATGTGTCTAATTTAAAGAAAAAAACAATTTAATCAACTCGAGACTCTTTTTTGTTTTATCTTACAATTGAAATATCATCAAGTAATAAACCAAATTGAGCAGCACGTTCTATTAATAATTCACTAACACGTTAAGAAATAAGTGTACGTTGTGTAATCAATTCAATAGCATCAAATTGAGACTTAGTACAACAGATTTTAAAACTTCATTAATAATCAATGGTAAAACACGTTCTTCATAATCTGAACCCAAATTTGCAAAAAATTTTTGGTAAAAGTTCAGCTCTTGGTCGATAAAGAATACGTAATGTTATATTAATTGTTTGTAAATCTAAAATAAAAATAATAAAATGTAATTTATGCATATTTCATTTATACGAAGAAAAAATAACGGAGACTTCCGATTTTAAGTTTTATGAAGTATCCTAAGATTGTTGAATGATGAAAGTGTAGAGGTGTAAACCGATCAGTTGAGTTGCCATCGATGGCCACAAAGTTTTTTAAGATACCTCAGCCATATACATTCATTGATGTTTCAATAGACATCGTATTTACCTTCTTTTATTCGCGAGCTTACATTTTCCTTATGTTCACCTCTCTCCTGAAGTTGACTGTTTTCTTCTAGCTTTTATAACTTTTTATTTCTGTTATTGATGGAACAGATCGTGGTCGTGTACGAATATCAAATATAATTGGTCTATGAAGCCATGAAATCATAAAATGAGTTCCTTCTTCAATAACATCTAGTTTAATACCTTGAAAACGATCAAAAATAATATTTCGATGACCACCATCAACTAGAATATATTTATATTTAAAGAAAACAAGTTTTTTTTTTAATCTTTTCATATTAACTATTATAAAGCATACAATTAATCACACCACCAACAATAGCTAAACCAATACCAATTCTTCCTAAAACACCAAATTCTTCTATCGAAATAGAATATTATTAAATAAACGAGATGAAGCCATTGTCTTTTTTTCTTCTAAAAGAAAAACATGCATAATTATAATCAAATTAAATTTGTTTAGTTGTTTTGTTTTTATTAGCAAATAGTTTCAAAAAACAAAACGAAACCATATGAAAATTCTTCATATCTCTATCGATAGAAAAAGAAAATGCATCACTATTTAATCTATCTATCTACTACAATAACAAACCAATGTAATATATACATAGAAAAAGATTAAATAACAATAAACTTTGAAAGCAAAAAAAATACATGCATACTTCTACATAAATCGAAATCCACTTGAAAAAATATGAGCACCGTTCAGATATTGTTCACCATTGGGTTTTAATGAATTTGATGTATCACTGTTCTTTGCTACTGCAGCAGCAATTGCTTCGAATGCTGGAACAGTCTATAAAGAAATTATTTATATCATAGAAAAACAAAATTTTTTCAATTACTATAATTTGATTTTGTTGGAAAAAATTGTTGTGGAAATGATGCACCATCAACACGAAAATCTTCAAGATTTTTATAGTTTTTTAAAATTTCTTCAAGTTTTGGATTGATTTTTGGTTTCTGTCGAGAATATTTTAAAAATGCCCAGAATTTTTCTAAACCATATAATTGATCTAAATAGAAAAATTATTTTTGTTATTGACACTTTTCTTTTTTTTTTGTGTAATCTATTTTATTACCAGTTTCATGATCACAAAGAGTTACTTGTTGAAAATCTTCAAATACATGTTGACGAAAATGTTTTTCTATATCATATGTATAAAATCGAAATAGACATTCAACACACATATCTATACATAAATAGTAATATTCAATTTTTTTCTTATTATTTTTCATGAGAAAAATGACTAAAAACGATAGAGTGTATTCATTTCCATTGATTGACCAGGAACAAGTTTAACGCATTCTAGAAATTAGATCATTACAGAAAACAAAATGTATTTTATTTGTAAATCAACATAACTCTAGATTATAAATATTTTCTATGAAATAATAAAGTTTGGCGATTAGTGAAACTTAGTGTTTTTAATCATTGCCGATTATTTTATTGCTTTTCAAATTTATCATGTAGATAAGAATGATAGTATTTATTAAAAAAAACTCCATAAAAGAGTAAAATCTTTGTTTTTTTTTGAAAATTATAGCAACAAACATATTCTCTATTAGTTATTTAAATAAGAATAAAAGTCTTTCTAGACTCTGATTTTTACTGGAGAGTAATTTTCGCTGTTGTTTTTAGATATGTTGACTGTTCTTTAGTCATTAAAAGGCTCGTTTTTTATACGTTCAATGCAACATAATTTCAATCTTTTTTTACCAGTAGCTTGTTTCTCTCGAAATATTGTAAACATGTACTGAACTAATAATCTTTTTTTTCTCTACAATCAACGTTTTCTTTTTACCATCAAGACATTCTTGTTCATATTTAAGATAAATTTGTTGAGTAAAACCATTTTGTTGTAAAAGTGTACGAGATGGATGTTGAAATTGAGAAATTTCCACCAGTGTTGAACCATAAAAATCATATGAATTTGAATTATTTTCATGCTAATAATGTGAATCATTGTATGATGATGAATATTGATCATAGAAATCTTGTTGTCGAGTTCTAAATAAGTAAAACTCATTTTATACTAATAATAATTGACATTCAATTGTTTGTATTAGGAACAAAAAATATAAGGAAATTCGTCAAAAAAAAACAAAGCAACACAAGTTGGTGGGTGTGTCTATGTTCTTCATTCACACCCACCTACACACCCACACCCTATTAGTGATTTAATTTCAACAGAAATATTCATTCGATGGGATAGAAATCGAATTTTATGAAAACTTTTTAATTTTCTGTATACAGTTATTTGACTTTGTCTTAACGAGTTTTCATATAATGACAGTGCAGTCGTACTCAACAGACTTGTTGATCTTGTGTTTCCAAGAAAATGAATATGTTCATTTGAATAATGCACTCTAATCAATTTTCAAAAGTCGTACTAAAAAATAATTCTATGATTTATGATTCAAATTAATTGCTTTTGTTTTTTCGATGATGATGATGATGATGATGAATAAAAATTTCTTCTGATCCAAAAAAAAAGAAAGAAAAGAATATGTATTGTCCATGAAGGACTGTATATGAACAAAGGTCAAGTATTCACATCCATGCACATGAAAAACAATGAAATTAATTCGTGTCTCATCATTTCAATTAATCATGTGATGATTAATCAAATCAATCATATTCTAATGTGCACATCATCGTCAATTATCGTTCGTCAAATTGATATCAACATCATTAGAATGTCTTTGATTGGCAATGTATGTTTAAAAACATATATATATATGAAACACATTTTCACCAGTATTCTCATACGATTCGATCGAACAAATCATGAGCATGCTCAATAAAGATAAAACATGATACTCACATGATTTATTTTTCACGGTTTACAATTTTTTATATTACTTACAATAATTAGTATTATTTTACATTATGATTATTCATGAATGACATACCGTTATCAATTTATAATTATTTACAATATTATAAATGAAATATATTTACAATGCTACGTATAAGTTTATAATGTATGAAAATGTGTACATTTATAATGAAATTTGTTACATAATGTTATGTGAAACCTTTGAATTCTATAATAGGAAAAAGAAATCTATACATGTTTAATGATTATTATGTATTTTACTGGAATTTAGCAATAAAAAATGTTCAACGGTGTGGATGTGGTGGGCGTCGAGTTTGTAGATATGGTGTGTATGTGTGCGCACGTGAATCCGTATGCGAGTATGTTGGTTTTTATCTGGACGTGTCAGTGTCTAGCAGAAATAATTTGGGACGGAAAGAATTAAAATACATTAATTTCCGATAATATTTATTGATCGATATTATATAATGATGCCTTTTTTTTAGAACGAAATCTAGGGGTGAGTGTTATTAAAATTCATTTCTGTACAACTCAATAAATGCATATATTACAATGAAATTTATCAATTTCATGATGTATTAAAATGTTTTGATTTACAATGGAACTTATTGTATGATATTGTGTTAAAATTCATTAATTTACAATGAAATTTATTATATGTTGTTAAATTCATTACTTGCAATGATATTTATTGAATGATATTATATAAAGATGCATTATTTTAAAATGAAATATGTAAGTTTATGATGCATTATATTGTATTAAATTACAATGAAATTTATTGTATAATGCTATGTTAAAATGCATGAATTTACCATAGTATTTATTGAATGATATTATATAAAAATATATTAATTTACAATGAAATTTATTTTATGTTGTTAAATTCATTATTTACAATGATATTTATTGAATGATATTATTTTAAAATGCACTATTTTACAATGAAATGTATACAATTTACGATGCATTAAAATGTATCAATTTATAGGGAAATTTATTATATGATGTTACGTTAAAATGCATTGGTTTACCATAATATTCATTGAATGATATTACATAAAAATGTATTAAATTACAATGAGATTTATTGTATGATGTTCTGTTAAAATTCATTAATTTACGATAATATTCATTGAATGATATTATATAAAGATGCATTTTTTACAATGAAATTTATCAGTTTATGATATATTAAAATGTATTAATTTACAATGAAATTTATTATATGATATTATGTTAAAATTCATTAATTTACAATGATATTCATTGAATCATATTATATTAAGATGTATTAATTTACAATGAAATTTATTATATATTGTTAAATTCATTATTTACAATGATATTTATTGAATGATATTATATAAAGATGCATTATTTTAAAATGAAATATGTAAGTTTATGATGCATTATATTGTATTAAATTACAATGAAATTTATTGTATAATACTATGTTAAAATGCATGAATTTACCATAGTATTTATTGAATGATATTATATAAAAATATATTAATTTACTATGAAATTCATTCATTCATTCATTCATTCAATGATGTTATATTATGATTCATATTTTTTTACAATGTTTTTGATTTCAATGATAATATATGTTAGGATGTATTGATTTATGATAGAAATTTATTCTATGATGTTTTTAGAATTCATCTGCTTTTTTTTTATGAATTATATGAAATTATAAAAACCATGAGAATGTTAAAAAAAAATATGATTTATTATTGATTTATATCAATAACAAGATTGGGTATGTTGCTTCAAAAATTATCTTATTTATCTTGAGAAAGACTTGAACAAATAAATTAATAGTTGAAAGAACAATTCTAAATTAAATTTTCATAACAATACTTACATTGAGACAATGTTAGATTGAGATATAGATGACTTATTTCGGATGAAATAATTTTTTTCTTCGTTGTTGTACACATTTAGTGTATACTATTATTATGTTAAGTCTATGTTATTTATGTTAGAAGATAGATACCAATTTATATCACAGCCTTATCAGGTGGCTTCGTAACCTGATCCAGAGAGAGATTCTATTCGTCATGGAATGGCGAAAGCAGTGTAGTGCTCGGGAAGGCCTTTAATGTACGTAGGTCCCTGCCGTCATTATGTACGGTACACCTATGTACATTGCCCTACCAGTCCGGCGTGGTCCGCTCTGTGTGTACCCGTTTCATACCTATAGGGCCTCTCCCTGGTCGCGCGCGCGCGTACGCGTGAAAATGAGCCTAGAAAAGTAGGGAAGTGAAAAGGAATCAAAACCAATTTATTGAGCAAGTAAACGAAAAAAAAAATTACATTTTCTTTCGAATTTTTTCAAATGTTTCTTTATATTCCAAAAGATGAGGATGAGTTGAAGGTAATTTTTCTTGAGCTATTTCAACTGCTTGTTGAATATTTTTCATTGCCATACTATATTTTCGTGTAGCCAAATATAATTTTGCCATATTATGATATACAACAGCTAAATCAGGATGATTTTCTGATAATTTCTTTTTACGTATTTCTAATCCTTTTTCGAAATATGTGAATGCTGTTGAATAATCTTTCATTTCACGATAAGTTTCACCTAAATTTATATATGTCGTTGCAACCTGGAGAGGACTACATTGAACATTTTCTTGAATATTTAATGCTTTTTGATGAAATGCAAGTGCCTTTTCATAATTACCCATTAATCGATGAACATCACCTATATTACTGCATGCTACAGCTAGATATGGATGATTTTCAGGTAAGCCTTTTTTCCATATTGCGAGACACTTCTCGAAATTATCAAGTGCTTTTGAATAATCTTTCATACTGCGATAAATCTTTCCGAACCAGTTGTATGGGAAAGCCAAATCAGGATGATTCTCAGGCAAAACTTGTTTTGTAATTTCAAAGTTCTTTTTAGAATATTCAAGTGCTGTCGAATAGTCACCCATGTCGTTATACACTCCACCGATGTTGTTGTAGGAACTAGCCAAATCGGGATGATTCGGAGGCAGAGCTTTTTCTCTTATTTTAAGTGATTTTTCGTAAAATTCAAGTGCTTTCGAGTAGTCACCCATGCCGTTATACACTGCACCGATGTTGTTGTAGGATTGAGCCAAATCGGGATGAGTAGAAGGTAGAGCTTTTTCTCTTATTTTAAGTGTTTTTTCGTAAAATTCAAGTGCTTTCGAGTAGTCACCCGTGTTGTTATACACTTGACCGATGCAAGTATAGGAAGTAGCCAAATCGGGATGACTCGGAGGCAGAGCTTTTTCTCTTATTTTATGTGATTTTTCGTAAAATTCAAGTGCTTTCGAGTAGTCACCCATGTTGTTATACACGAGACCGATGTTGTTGTAGGACATAGCCAAATCGGGATGATTCGGAGGCAGAGCTTTTTCGTAGATGTTATGTGCTTTTTCGTAGAATTCAAGTGCTTTCGAATAGTCACCCATGTTGTTATACACTCCACCGATGTCGTTGTAGGAAGTAGCCAATAAGGGATGATTCGAAGGCAGAGCTTTTTCTCTTATTTTAAGTGATTTTTCGTAAAATTTAAGTGCTTTCGAGTAGTCACCCATGTTGTTATACGCTTGACCGATGTTGCCGTAGGAAGTAGCCAATGAGGGATGAGTCGGAGGCAGAGCTTTTACGTAGATTTTATGTGCTTTTTCGTAAAATTCAAGTGCTCTCGAGTAGTTACCCATGTTGTTATACACTTGACCAATAGTGTTGTAGGAAGTAGCCAAATCGGGATGATTCGAAGGCAGAGCTTTTTTCGTGATTTCGAGATCTTTTTCGTAAAATTCAAGTGCTTTCGAATAGTCACCCATGTTGTGGTACACTTGACCAATGCTGTTGTAGGTATTAGCTAATGAAGGATGATCTTCTGGAAGAGTTTTTCGTTCAATTTTGAGAGACATTTCATAAAATGAAGCTGCTTCTTTGTATTGTCCTTGATCTCGTTTCACCCATCCGAGCTGGTGATAGATATGTGTTTTATCACTGTCGTCGGATGCCTGTTCTAGTAGTGCCATGTACAATTCTTCGGCCTTGTCAAATTGACCAATTGTGAGCAGCAATTTACCCATTCGATACCATCCAGTGCTACCTGAAGATTCTTCTCGTACGCGGTCGGTCAATTGACGAAGTTGTTGGTCGTCATCCGACGTAAGTTTAAGGTCCACTTCATAAAGTGGACTTTTCTTATCAATTTTTCGAACTTCACCGATTCGAAAGATGGTGTGCATCGAGAAGAGAATTTCCTCTTCTTGTGCGAAATCACTAACCTCCTTGATGGAGGCAAAAGGAGTCGATGAGACCATGGGATCGATGGTCATTTGAAAGAGAACGCCAACCATTTCTTCTGTTCCTAAGGCTTCGTTGGCGAAAGCTAAGGACACATTTCGATTTTTACTGGTGGATAAAAAATTATTGAATGAAATGAGTCCACCTTTGCTTTTGACGAGTTTTTCGTGATCTACCTTTGGTAATCCCTGCCCGCGATAAACAAGAAATGTCTTACCATAATATTGACTAACTTGCTTGGCGTGTAAAGTTTCAATTTGTCGATGAACATCACATAGATAAAATCCCATTCGGATGATAATATCACCGTCGAGTGTTCGTAATGCCCGATTGAGCATTTTGTATGTAAAACATTGGCGGGTATACCACCAAATGGCTTTTGATGGACGATAAGTATGTTGAAATTCTTGAATATATTTGAGCTCTGTTGGATTGTCTTTGTATTGTTCTTGGCAGAAGGTGACCAAATCTTTCATGGCTTCTTGGCCATGTTCCATATCAAGGAGTATTTCCTTGAATATTTGGGTATACATGAAGGAAGGCTCTAGCTGATTAAGATCTTCGCTAGAACCTCCTTCATTGGCACCGATAATACTGACCGTCACTTGATCTTGATTGCATTGTTTGACAGCTAGTGCCAATTTTCCACAGATGTCCTTGATCGATGTATGCACACCTTTAATTTTGGGCCAATTTTTAGCCCATTCTTGGTGACGTTGCTTGTTGCCACAAAAGATGTATATGGCATCCAGTTTTGGCATGCCATGAATTTCTGGTACCAGGTGTTGTCCTAATGCACCTGAGGAGATGACGAATGATGTCTCCTCATTGTTTTCCTGTAGTTTCTGCATACATTGTTCGGCCGTGGTGCATGGATTGACTTGATTAACCACACCGCGCAATTGCGCGAGTGTATTCTGGCAATCTTCATTTGCCATGTTGATATTGCTGTCGACCCAGATGACCAGGTAATTTTCAGCCATTCGTAGTCGTCGTTGTCTATCCATTTTCGATGTTGTTTTTAACGTTTGCTTGACGATTGAATATTGTGAAGGATCAATTGTTGTTTGGATAGAGACCACTGTTTTCTGTTTATATATTCGATATTGGATGTTTTTTATCTAGATTATTCTATGACGTCAAATATGGGTGCGTATTTTTTTTTGTTGACACTCAAAGATAAACCCTACCTACTTTCAATTGAAAATATGCTTGTCAAAAGCAAACGAAAGAAAAAAATCCAACAACATCATTTATCTTATCGTTATTCTTTCCAACTTTCGTTGGGTTTTTTTTTCTGTTGACTTTTATTGATCCTATAAAACGAGGCTAACAATGCAAGATAAGAAGAAATTAAGCATAAATAAATAGAATAATAAGAATAAAATAGCAAGAAGAACGATACAAAGACAATAAGTGGAGGTATCATCATCATAAATTTGTAGGCTAGTGCAATCTTATGTTGGGATGTGTGTGCCTAGGTAGATGTGTGTCCGAATGTGAGAATGGGTGTATGTGGCTGTGGGCGGATGCAGCTGTGGCCGTATGGTGTGAATTGGTGCTGGTGGATGTGGTTGTGGCTGCGGCTCCGAACGGGCATCGATGTGGGTTGGTACAGCTGTAATTATGAGTAGTGGATGGTTATATGGGAGTGTGGCTGTGGATGTGGAAGCAGAAGCAAATGATATGAACGTGATAGTGGGTGTCGATGTAGGCGCGGGTATAGGTGGGCATGGGTATGGGTGTGAGTCTTCTCTTCCGCAAGTACGTCTACGTCCACCGATACCCACACCCACACCCATAGTCGCATCGTCATGCCTTCATTCTCCTTCAAGTTAAAAACCTTGTCGATCATGTGAAACAGTAGAGTAATGGTTACAGTTGGCGTGAATGATGTCAGGCCTCTTTACGTCCTCATGTCAAGATAGATAGCGTCTCCTTGTACTTGTATTTTGAAAATTTTCAATCCCTTCGAATTAGCCATTAATTTTACTTTTAATCTTATTTCGAAGGATATTCTTGTACGACTCACTTCATTCCAGCTCTTTGATCATTAGTAAGTCGACTACAGACTAGAATTCTACAAGGTTAACATCAAAATTACTGAAGAAAGAAGTTTTCCAACGGGTGCATGCCATTTTTGTTGATATTTTGCCCATATGTATAGTTTGATGACACTAGAAAAAGCCTAAAAAGATAACGGCGTATAAGTTTTCCTTCTCGAGTGATGATCATTTTACTTGGTTTATCACCTATGACAAGGGATTCAGTGAAAAATCGGTTTTCATGCACATGCAGGTCTTATGACCTATATATTAGGCTTAAAGTTGCAGTCAAAACAAATGCTTCTGTCGTGAAATATTGATTTTTCCATAGAAGTCGATTTTCCTGACATGTATGTAGCATGTTAATGTTTTCTTGATAACGCAATATTTCGAGAAAGAGGCGTTTGTTTTGACTGGAACTTTTAGGCTAATATATAGGCCATAAGGCTTGCATGTGGACAAAATCTCAGATCGAAATTTCTCAATTTGATTTTTTGCTGAATTCCTTGTCCTGGGTGGTAAACCAAGTGAAATGATCCTAACTTGAGAAGGAAAGCCTATGGGCTATTATCCTTTTAAGTTTTTTTCTAATCTCATCGAACCCTACATATAGGCAAAATATCAACAAAAATGGCATGGATTAGTTGGAGACTTTTCCATGAGAGTCTTGTACCATTACGAGCTCTTCGCAAAGATTCGCATCGGTCTGAGAAATGAACTTTTCAAAAGTTTTATTTTCATGTTGTTTGATCACCAATCAGTTAAGAAGTCTACAATGAATATATTATGTGTTCAGACAGGCTCGATAAGACACTATGAACTCTTGTTTTGTTTATTAACAATGATACAGTATGCCGTTTGTGTCGCAGGAGTTAATCGCAGAAAAAGAGGAAAAAGTTGGTTGGCGCACATACGTTTATTCTTCTTTCGCGGAAAGTCGATGGCTTTGCACACAACATACTTGAATAGCAGTCTTCATTTGCATAATAAATATTTGATAAGAAAATAAAGAACGGAGCACTTTGTCAGTTGTCATCAGTGGGTTTTATCCAACTTACAAGTAGAACAACACAAAGTCAATACACAGGTGAAGTAACGCTGAATCAGCAAGCGTTGATGTCTGTTACAGTGGAGAGCCAGGCGGATATGTGCGAAAATATTCTTTTCTAGAATCTAATGATTTGCGTAGATACATGCATATGTGATTTATCATTTCCTAAAATAGTGGTTCTCAAAGTTTTATAAAGCCTAAGTAAAGAGCTCGCCAAGGCTTGCGCCTCAGAAATCAGCATAAATAAAGAAAATCACGCTGCTAGGCAATATGAAACAATATTGCACAAGCAGGTAATATCACAAAAAGCTTCCTCATGGGTAGATCTTATGTTTAAAAAAAAGTGATCCAAATTTAATTTAAAGTAGAGTAGAAGACAAAGGATCTCGAGATCCAAAACCTATCTGAAAACATATCGTTCCATATATTGTAAGCACTACAAAGAGAAAACGTCGAATCGAGCGCGCATTTTTACCAGACGTTCTTACATATGTAACCTACTTATGATAGTGGTGCATAGTTATGAAACCTTTCCTAAGCTATTTTACAGTAGGATATCCGATTTTTGGCACTGATATTACTCTTTGAAGGAAAACTATTGTGATATTCGGAATGGATGCATTACATTACTTCGAGTGATTTGTGGCTCAACATATTTTTCAAAACAAATTGTTTTCGGAAAATTATGACTGAGGTACCACTCCTAAGCCAGATTTTTTCGTAAAATTTTCATAAAAACTTTCTGTTTTCTCAAAGATGATTCTCTGAATGATATATGGTTATTTCTCAGCAAGAAAGCCGTATGTTCAGCTGCTTATGCGAAAACTCTCGACTGTGCTGCAGGTACTCAAGGACTATTATATAGGAGTATCCATAAACCCTAAAGCCCTACCCTGCAGCGGCAACTGTAAGTAGGTGTATCATAGGTTCAGCTCAGTTCCCTGAGCTAGAACTAGTCAGCCAGCTTTGTTCGCATTAGCCGGGTCTGTTGCACACCTAATGATCAATCGATCTTTAACTACAGAAGAGCTCAAAGTTTACTCAAATTTTCAAACATTTTCTCCGTCGCATGTACTACTTGCGTATCGAAGACACTCTATCGCGTGACTCAATTACCTTCAGCTAACAAAAAAGCTTACTCTTATTTGATAAAGCAAAACTCAAGTACACATTTCTGACATTACTCATGAACCCAATATTTCCTAACGCATTCAACAATGACCCTAATAGCCCTCAAAACTTTACAGATATATACTGCAAACTATGCTTACCATAACTATTAGTCGCCTTAATTAGTGCTGATTAATTGAGTACTCTCTCTAATTAGTTCTAATTAGTTGGGTACTAATTAATTATCTAACTTACAATCGCATAATGTGCTCATAGCCTATGGCTGCAATTGATGGAACCCTATTATGTGCTGTTAAGTATAAAAATGGACTGGCGTGAAACGAACTCGAAATTTAGGATTTACGCACTGTGAGGCTCACTTGGTCGACCACATTTATATATATATATAGGAGTATCATTAGAAATATGGCCCTGACATTCTAGTCGATGTAGTTATGCTTATTAAATGAACTTATAGATTAAATCGTGAATGAAATATAACTAACATGAAGAAACAATGAAAACACGTTATAATCAGCATCAAAAATACGTCGTGATGAACTTTGTTAAAAAAAGTTAATTGAGCCAGCCATGATTTTTCTTAGGTATTTTCACATAGAAGATGAAGTTTTTTACGGGCTATCTTCTGATATCATAAAATTCCTGAGAAACCCCATTTTTTAATTCAAAGGTCAAAATACTTTTAAAAAAACGCAAAAAAAAACATGAAAAAACATGGTAGGAAAAACCATACATTTCTTTATTAAAAAATCATCGTATTAACCCTTTTTTCCTATAAAATGATGCTTGTGTGAAGTCGACAGAAAAAGAGATACTCTTCGTTTTGACAAAACTCAACACTATAACAATTCGTGGAATAATGCTTCAGTTTTACAATGTATTAAAAAGTACCAAAAATAAAAATTATCATTTTGCATTATAACTCTATAAGGCCTGTTACCATGGCATATATCATAATTCAATGAATCATTATCAGATCGAGTTAATATTTCGGATTTAGTAATATCTATATACGACCTTTATTTTCAGATAATTAAATCAAAAATCGAAAATTTTACTCCAGCCATGTTGTCTGGTATTCTAGTAGATCCTCTGCTAATACTCATAAAGTAAATTAGAGAAATAAATAAAAAGGTAATCATTTGGATAGACTGTAGCGTACAACTTGCGTGGTCTGTTTTTTTTGTCGTAAGTTTCACTTCATGCCATATGAGGTTCAATGTCTTAGTAGATAGATCTACGTTTGCAGTCAAGCATCGTCAGAAGTTAGAGAAGTATGGAATTGTATCTAAGTTTCTTACATCGAACCTAAACTATTTGTATTCTTCAACCAATGATTCCGATTCCAATATAGATAAGATTTTCGATGCTGTTGCTGAATATATCCGATGGATCGACTAATGGGAAAATAAGTTGAAACCAAGAGATATTCTAAATAGAAGAAAATGATTTCAATGAAATGAACAAAAGAGAAAAAAAGACAAACTTCTTCACGAGCTACTTTCATATCATCTTTTACATTAGTAAAAATAGTAGGTCGAATAAAATAACCTTTATCATCAACTTTTTTTACCTGATCGAATACATTCAAGAATTGTTTCTAATTGAGTATGACTGTTTTGTAGAATACACAAAAGAAATTAATGCTAATCTGTTGTCTTATCAAATTGTTGTCTGAATCCTCAATCAATATGTTTTTTCCATAGTTTAGATTGTGACACTTTGCTTGAAATGCTTTCCTATACCTATGGTCCTCGTTCAGTTGTAGAATCAAATGGATCACCAATAATACGTTTCTTTGCTAATTCGACACTTTTAGATACAAAGGCATCGTGAAGTGTGGAATGAACAAATATTCTTGATGCAGCAAAACATACTTGACCTGCATGAGTGAAAACTGCTCTATGAGCCGTTCGAGCAGCAACATCGACTAAAACATGCAAAACAAATTAATTCTATTGTTTATGAACCTTTTTCGTCATGAGGAAGCACAATGAAAATGAAAGTAATAGAATTATTCAATACATACGATCAGTATCTTTACAAATGATAAATGATGATTTGCTGCCTATATGTGATGAAAAAGGCAACAACGCAGACAGGTCAGAAAGATTATTTTAATAACTAAGTTCCAGTGAAACATGCTTTAGATTAGTTTTTCCTGCAGTTTCTTGAATCTTTTTCCCAACCTAAAACAAAATATGATGTGCTTTTGTTATTTTGTCTTTTATCTGCACTAATCTTGCCTTGAGTGAACCTGTAAAAGCTATTTTATTAATCTTTTCATCCATGACCACAGTTAGGTCCATGACTTACATATGTATATCATTATAAGAGTTGTTTTCGTTCTGATGATGTATATTACCTAATACACTGTTAATAATACCTGGTGGAAAACCAGCCTAGAATATTGATTTAGTATTCGAATAAATTTTGATTGTTGATAGATGATGACTAATACTTTCTTGATGACAGAAGCACAAAAGAGTGCAGTAAGTGGTGTTTGTTCAGCTGGTTTTAGAATAACTACATTGCCTATTTGTTATTGCAATATATAAGAAAATGTAAATTAATAGAAGTAACGAAGTTATCACAAACTAATGCTGATCCAAGTTTCAAGGCCAACATAACAGTCTAAAATATAATGTCAACAATACTTTTGTATGATGCATATGTAAGAAAGAATATCGTACTGAATAATCACTGAAAGAAGAAAGTACAATTTGAATTTTCATTTATTGAATGTTTGAACTGACCATGAAATGATTTGTTCATAGATCCCAACTGGTTTGTCTAATACAGGTAATAAAAATACCTGATTCTGATGGAAGTGTTTTATCAGTGATTTTATCAGCGTATCCAGCATCTGTAACATGTGAATATCATCGATAATAAAAAAAAAGAGGATTTCAGAGAGGCTTACAACAATCAAGACAAACAGCTGCTCCAAGAATCTCGCAATAACTCTATTGTAGCAGTTTTTCACTACTCAGTGTTTCTAATCTCTGAATATTCATTTATGGTGTAGATGCAAACAAATAGAGTGAAAATTTTTACTGATAAATAGTCCACAACACGTGGAAGTAAATCAGCAAGTTTATGAATTAACTGACCACGTGCAGCAGGATCTAACTTACGCCATGGTGAATCATATTGGAAATCTTTTTCAGCAGCTTCAATTGCTTTATCAAGATCACTCTACAATATTGAAAACAATAAAAATTACACGTAGAACGAAAATAATCATGTGTGTATATGTATATATATATTAATACTTTTGTGCCTTCTTCTACTTGACAAATTTTTTCATCGGTACTTGGATCAATGATAGAGAACGGATTCATCTTTGTCTACATGATTGACCTTGATTTATCACATAAGAAGAAAGGAAAAAATGGACATATATTAACTCGTTCCTCAATCTACTTATATTCATTTCTGTTTCAGTTACAGATGATGCCTTCAATCTTAATGAATGATTCAACTTATGAAACCAATTTGGTTAAAAGAAAACAAAAATTTGATAAGGTAGCACACCTGAGTATTGTAACAAGTCTTCGTGTCAATGTGGCATTTTTTAAAACTTGTCTTATCGATTGGACTTTGCGACAAGCGAAGAACAATTTTTCTAATAATATATGTATTTTATGTATTTGATATTGCACTTCACTATGGAACTATTCTACTAACAGGTGCTAATCAGATTGTTCTTCGTATATGCAAAATCATATTCTTTTGATGTGACTCTATTACTAAAGATCTTATCAGTTCGTTTAATGTGAAACACTCAATATATGAAGGAAGACTTCCAGAACGAAGTTGCCACGATGAAAAGAAGGAATTTTTAGAATAGCGAAGATTTCAAGCGAATAGAACTAATTTTCATAATTGTACGCTGGATTTCGAAAGCGCTGTAAATAACAGGCTAAAGCATTCTCTTCGCTAATATCATATATCTACTTATGTGATTTCAGTTAACAAATTAATATTTTTCACAAGAAAATTATTGTTACTATTCAAAACTGATGCCACTTAGATGATAGAGAACAGGAACAATCAAAAAATTTATTATATATAAAAACTTCTTTAGATTCACTATATATATATAATCAATAAGTAATGTTTTACGATAGCAGAAAAGAATCGATCATACTTTTCCTTCTTCAATAATCAATTTGTTTCTTTGTATTGCATTTTGTTTAAAATCTTTTAAACAATAAAATTTTAAATGTTTTTAATTGTGGGTGTGGGTGTGGGTGCAGGTGTGGGTGTGGGTGTGAATCCAATGAATGCTGACACCCAAACTCACACTCACACCCGCGTATTTTTACTGTTAGTTTTACTGTAATAGAAAGAATGACCTTTTGAATCGATATCTGGCTAGTTTCTCGCGAATATACAATTATTCAGTTGAAAGGAATAACATATTTGAAATCGATATGAAGACTAAATGGAGTTTTGTGGTACTAAATCTCCGAATACTTAGATTTTCTTCGAAAAATTTCCCCATTTCGAACTCCTGAGTTACCTCAAAAACTCAATTTTATCGAAAAGTGACTTGTATTGCATGTTCACCTTTGATTTTGTGATTTACAAGTATTTGTGACATTTGAAAACTTTTGCAAGCTCAAGTGGCATTTCGGTGGAAGCGAGAGATTGGACTTAGACCG